TAGACTACTCTAACTTCAGTACGTTGCAAAATTTTGTCCCAATCAGCTTAACTTTGGGTCATTTTCTCAAAACTTAACACCAATCATTCTAGACATAATTCAGAACGCTGTACCAAATTTCGTGCAAATCGATAGATATAAAGGGACTTTGGTACAACATTTACATTAAATCGGACGAAAATTTATATGGGAACTATATCTAAATCTGAACCGATTTTCACGTAACTTAACACACATTATTCAGACTTAATACCCTATGCCAAACTTCGTGCAAATCGTAAAAAATATATAGGGACTTTGGTGCACCATTTGCGTACAATCGAACAAAAATATATATGGGAGTTATATCTAAATCTGGACCGACTTGCACGAAACTGAGCGCATATCATTCTAGACTTAATTCAGTACGCTGCGCCAAAATTCTTGCAAATCGAAAGATATATTGGTCCTTTGGTGCACCATTTACATAAGATAAGACTAAATTAAATCGACTGAGAATGTGATTCTATGCATATTCTCAAAAGAAATCATGGGCCTATCTCGTTTTCTTTTGCCTGTTACAAACATATGCACAAAGACGTCATATATATCAAATCTGAAATTAATATTACTGTTTATACCCTTCACCACACTGTGGTACAAGGAATTAATATTAATTTCAGATCTGACATATATGACGCATCATTTGAAATATATATATATATATATATATATATGTTGTTATAAATTCTAATTTACTAAACACGCAGTAATGAAAATGCAAATCTGGTTAGAAATGATTTCGTTAACTATCCGAGCTTCATACCAAGACTAATTATAATGTGGGCTTCTTGGATTTTCTCTCTTTTTAATTTTATTCCATCACATAGATCTAACGAACTGATTTCTAAGAAAGTAACAAAAAATGTAGTTTCGCTTTTTATAAACAAAATAAAAAATCGACTAGTCATCATTAATGTTTGAATATTCGCATATGTATATGTATGTAAAAGCCATGTTTCATTGACCTCCCCAATCTGTTATCAATAATTTGTCATCTATTAGTCAGCAAATTTGTTTGTTTATATTATGTTTTTTCTACATATGTATCTCTATTTTGATTAGGATTATTATGATTAAAAAGTTTTTAAGTACTTTAATAAATTTATATAAAAAATAAGCAGGAAAGCAAATAAATGAATGCAAAAATAATGCACATGGCCAGTAATAATTTATGAAGTGCACAATAAACCAAATTACTTTCAGATTTTTAACTGCAATTAAGTAGTAAAAATATTTATGAATGAAAATTGGTTTTTAATTAGATTAATTATTAAAAAAATACGCCGATAAACCTTTTATAACCCATTGTACCTCATCGATGTCTTGGAGTCATAAAACTGATTCACATGCAACCTTATACAAAAAAAAAAAAAAAAAAAACACAGAAATATAAATACAAAGTTTTATAGCTTATATTAAAAAAGCTTGCATGGAGGTCTGTTAACCTCTAAAAACCTGAATTGTCAAATAACGGTCTTTTAGTTTGAAAAATGCAGCTTTATCCTGAAAAATACTTCAAATGTGTCTTGTCATCTGAGATTTGAGAGAAACATGGATAGATATGAAAAAAATCTTTGATGAATTATTTTAACCTCTACGAACTTGAAATGGTATTTTACGATGTTTTCGGTTGTAAAATGCAAAATATTACGTTGGGGAAAACGAAATCAATTATTTTCTCGTAAAGTATCGATCAAATAATTTCAGATTTATGCTTCTTGGAAGGGTGACATTTCGCAGTAAAAACATATTTTGCTGTTTTTTGTTTGGTGCGTTCAGTTGTGAGTTACAGGTTGTTAAAAATGAAAGTGAACAAACAGAAACTTCGGATAATTTTACAGTTTTTCTTTAACAAAGCCAAAAATGCAAGCCAAGCGGCTAAAATTGTGAATGGCGTTTATGGTTCCGATACGGTAATAGCCAATTATGTGCAATTTTGGTTTCGTAGGAATTTTTGATGTCGTCGAAAATGTTGATAAAATAGGAGAAATTATCGAAGTTGACCTTTAAAATTTCAACAAATCATGCAACAAAACGGTGCATATTTGGCCCAAATCGGACATTCCGAAACATGTTAAATAAAGTCCTATAGTTCATATAAAAATAATGTATTTTTTCCCCAACCTAATATCAACAAGGGAGCGGGACATATTTATAGGTGTTATGTACAAAACAAACAAACAATGTTAAAAATTTTGTGCTAGAATGTATTTTAATCTCCGATGGAAAAGCAACTGCCTCGACAGACACGGGTAGTCTTAGCACAGCTGAGATCTGGGCACGAATTAATGACACTTTACCTTACACATGCCCAGCATGTGGAAAAGGTTCTCACGACAGGTTGGACCTATTTAAATGTCCAGCTAAGCCCACTAACATGTTTAAAAATTACCTATGAACGCACCCGAAACTAAATTTCAAAGCTCTTCTTAGTAAATTTTGCGAGTACTATTGTGATTTCAATAAAAAACCGGTCGGAAATTGCTAAATGGACATAGAATTTTATTCAAGAATATGTGATCCTGACTAATATTCCGATGTGATGGAATGATAAAGTTCATACAAACTCCACCTTAATGTCGTGGGTATAAATAACGATGAACTATGCAGATCTGCATCCTCTTTTAAAGAAGTCCTAAAGCGATAAAATGAGATTTAAATACTGATCGGGATAGATTATAACTCCGTTCGACCAAAATTATTTGAAAATGACTTGCCTTGATAATATTCTGCATAAATGTCTGTCACCGTGCAAGAACCAGCAATGCAAAATCTCAGATACTTCGCTTGGAAAAAGTGTATCAAAACTTTCCAATCTACGAAAATGGTGCCCTCGTACTAGCCAGACACGCACTCTTCAGGTACCTATCAGACTCGATCATAACTCCAAATAGAAATGCGTATCAGTTTACACCTACTCGAAGTAAGCTGTCATGAATTATAGCGGTACTTATTGAAAATGTGAAAGCCCAAGATCAGGATGAAACGGTTGAACATCCCTCCCTTATATATTCCTTACACCTATATATCATAGCTGGAAGTCGACCATTGTCAGAAGCAACATCACCGAGTGAACGGACAGAGACTCGTCGTTAAATTTCACAATACATCAGAATGGATGTAATCACAAATAAAACATATCAGCCATCAATGGGGTGGTATGACTTCCAAAACAGCGTTTAATATACTACTTGAGGCTATAATGGATGAACCAAACCTCAATTCATTGCAATTTTTACCCAAGTTCTGCATCGATATTATGCGAAGATCGAAAGCATATTTATAGGGGCATGTTGTGGCATTCACTATGAGTTTGATACACTTTACACACACACTTCACCTCACGACTGTATTGCTTTTATATTTCTCAAGCGAGTTATAGTTTTCAATTTGTTCCTGGTGTATTTGATCACTTTTACTGTTGAGGCGAAATCTCGAACAGGCCCGATATATATCAAACGCTTTTAAAGTTCTCCAATATGGTAAATTAAATGGTAATTTTTTCTCCAACAAAAAACATCAAATTGTATTTCTTCAATTTTTATTGAAAAGCAAAGTAGCTGTTTTCAAAATATAAGGCAATTGGATATTCGATATTGTTTTTTTCTTTAATTCTCATAACTGAAGGTTTAGATGTACGCGATCCACTCGATTTCAAATGTCAATTCCATATGTCAAACAAAATCCACTAGGTTTTTGAATAGGATCTATTTTAAAAATGCTATTTGAAATCGAGTGGTTTTCATAGTCTAAACCAGCAATATTATGATCAGTCATTACAAATTGATTTATTTATGAAAAATGAGATTTTGATCGGATGTGTTTCAAATTTAAATATTAAATCTCTTGCTCAAAGTTTTGACACTTTCTTTTAGCGTATCCAAACGATGACCCAGCTCATCATAACCTTCGATTAGGACCTTCTTAGTTTCCGTCGCGTATTTATTGACATTCTTCCAGGTTTCACTGTGCTCAACCGTATCTATGGCATCGATGATGGGCTGTAGAGGATTGCCATTTTCTTTGATCGATTTGTTTATATCGAAATCATTACAAATAATAGATTTTAAACTTTGCCAAAAACTGGTTTTCGGTTTGGGTTTTGGAGTGGTAGATGTGGTACTGGTCGTCGTGGTGGTAGTTGTAGTAGGGGGAGCAACAATTGAAGGTGTCGTGCTCAAAGTGTTCAAAATCGATTTGCTAACCTCCTTCAATGTATTCAAACCCTTTTCAGCAACCTTTGTGGTGATTTCCTTCAAAGAGGATTTATTATTGTCATCCACAAAAATCCCCTCGGTTGTCTTTTCAATTTTTCCAATATCATTGTTGTTCTTCTTTGTCGGTTCAATATCCCCGGATATAACAAAATCAAAGGGTTCTTCCGAAGCCGAATTCTTCAGATCATAGTAGGTATTATGCTTCTTCCACAAATCCGTATTATCATCCAAATCAATGAAGATGTCATTCAGTACATCATTGTCATAGGTATTCAGGGGTAGGGCATGCAGCCACTTGGCCCATGACAGTAAAATCAATTGTAACAAAAGTTGATAGTTCTGGAAAAATTAAAGACATTTTGTTAACTATTTTTAAATAAAAAATAAATATTCATTAGCTTACCGTATCCATTTCTTCTTCGTCTTCTTTGTTTGCCAATTTCTTGTTACCGTCCACCAGCAAGGTTGGGAGATGACTAATTTGTGAAACTCAACACACAACCTCGCTCAATTCTTGTTAACTATCTTTTTTAGTTTGGTTTTTTGTTTTTGTAAAAGTGATACCGATTACAATTTCTCTTATTTTTGCCTGTTGAATTAGCTGGGGATTTTTCCTAGGAAAACACTCTTTTTTATGTTTGTTTACCTATCTCTATCCGTATGTCTGTCTGTCTGACAAACATAACCACTTAATATTCTGCCTTTGTAATAACACATATTTTTTCCGTTATTCTCTTTTATTTCGATTTTCTTGGTGCAGGTACAACTGGTTCAGGCTCATATCAATCTACCTGCGAAGCCAAGATGATTGACGAATACACCGATCCCGTTGCCGTCTGCAATGTCAACGATTTGCAGGAGTGTGAAATGAAGCCGTTCGAATTCAACGAGAACACGAAGGTTCTGGTGGTCAAACAGCGAGATCAAATCAAGGCGATCGGCAATAAGTGTACACATTATGGTGCCCCTTTGCACACTGGTGTGCTGGGTGATGGTCGGGTTCGTTGTCCCTGGCATGGGGCATGTTTCAGCATTGATACGGGTGATATTGAAGATTTCCCCGGTCTCGATTCACTGCCTTGCTATAAAGTAGATGTCCAACCTGATGGCCAGGTTATGGTACGTGCCAAGCGTAAAGATTTAGAAAAGGCCCGGCGTCTCAAGGATATGGTTAAACGTGATCCAGCCAATCAGGAATGTTATGTTATTGTAGGTGGTGGTCCGGCAGGTGCCGTGTGTGCCGAAACCCTACGACAAGAAGGTTTTACCGGTCGCATTGTTATGATCTGCAAGGAAACACACTTACCTTATGATCGCGTAAAATTGACCAAAGCCGCGAATACTCAAATTGAAACCATACAATTCCGTAAACCTGAATTCTATGAAGAATATGGCATTGAAACTCTGATGGGAGTCTCAGCCACCAACATGAACTGTGAAGAGAAAACTCTGAACCTTTCCAACCAAACCTCCTTGAAATATGATAAAATCTTTATTGCCACCGGTTGTACGGCCAGCAAGCCACCAATCAGAGGTTCCGATCTCAAGGGGGTTATGGTTGTACGGGAATATGATGATGTATTGGAAATCAACAAACTCATTAAACCCGAAGCCAATTTGGTGTGTCTGGGTTCCAGTTTCATTGCCTTAGAGGCTGCCCAGGCATGGACCAAGAAGGTTAAAAGTGTAAGTTGTGTCACACACCCCCTTTAAACACCCCAAAAAATTAATATATTTTCCTCTCCCTCTCTCTTCCAGACCACTCTAATTTCTCGCACTGAATACCCCTTGATGGCCAGTTTTGGCCCCCTGATTGGTGAACGTGTTCTACGCCTGTTCCGTGATCAAGGTGTCAACTGTGTCATGGACAGCGGAATTACCGAAATCATTGGCAACAGTGATAACCAGGTGACCGAAGTTGTTCTCAAGGATGGCACCAAACTGCCTTGTGATATTCTCATTATGGGTACTGGCTCCAAATTCAATACCGAATTCCTGAAGGGTTCTGGTTTACCTCTCAACGCAAACGGTTCCATTGATACCGATCTATATCTCAAGACTTTGGTTGATGATGTCTATGTTGGTGGTGATATTGCCAATGCTCCCGTGTATTCCTACAATCAAGAACGTGTCGCCATTGGCCATTACCAATTGGCTCAATATCATGGTCGTCTTGCTGCCCTCAACATGGTTGGTAAATCCCCCGAAGAACTACGTTCCGTCCCATTCTTCTTTACCATGTTATTTGGTAAAGGTTTCCGTTATTCGGGTTATGGTGCCTATTCCGATGTTGTCATTGAGGGTGATTTGGAAAATTTGAAATTTGTTGCCTATTTCATTGATGAACAAGATAAGGTTGTGGGAGTGGCTTCGTGTGGTCGTGATCCCATCGTTGCCCAATTTGCTGAGCTACAGAGTCAAGGTAAATCACTGTATCGTAAAGATCTGCAAGAGGATGCCAGTGATCCCGTGGCTTGGACTAAAAAACTTAAAGTTCTCGGTAAATGCATTTAAATTTGGCTAATTCCATGAGTATTATATATTTAGCTATGTATGTATGTTACTCTATAATTGTTGCTTTGTTAAAATATCAAATAGACATACATATGTATGTATTTTTGTATACAAAACTTGTAAAATTCTTTTTTAGTATTTATATTATTATTTTTTATGTGTAATTTTGTTTTTTGTATAATTCTGCAAATTTCAATTGTTAATAAATATAATTTGCGAAAATACAATCATGATTGTCTAATTCGAAATAAGACTTTATTAGAAATACCTTTTGAAATAATTATAGGAGGTATTTTATAGTAAGAAAACTAAAGATATAACAATATAAAATGACTGCAGAGAGGATTCTTCATATAAAACATTTTATATAGAAAATATAATGATATAACTATAATATAAATTTTTTATATTATATTTTTCGCATAGAGAATATGGTTAACATAGTTTTAGAACGACGGTAGTAAAGGAACTTCTAAATATAATATAAATCCAGAGGATCTTCTGATTAGAGAATAACTTTACACCGTATTCTATGTATAGAACAACGAATATAAGTTCTAATCAAATAAGAACTGCATATCCAACCTGAATCTTATGATAATCCGATGTGGCTGTAATTTGGCATTTCGAGATGAAAACATTTCGGAGGAAATTTTGGATTCATTAGGCATAGCCTCCATATAAAGGTCACCACTTTTGGGTTATTTGTTTAGTTTAGCACTTATGGTTCCTGGAAGAAAAAAACGGTGACGATGGTTTCCATTGGACTTGATCTAGGTACGATTTCAAGATTGTAGAAAACACAGATGTTTTCTCTGTGGTACACTACATATATACAAGGCATGCATGCTTAAGGACCACTGTAAAATTTTCATAAAGCAATCTTAACACTAAGGCAGCCCACAGCTTCTTAAAAATATTGTTATTATTGAATTGAAAATCGCGGGTTATTTTTGCAGAATATATGTCAAATGAAGATGGAAAACTTGTGACAGATACAGAGAAATTGTTGAGGATCTGGAAGGAGCATTTTGAAAAGCTTTTGGTATCAAATAGTGAAAAAGTTACCCCAAAACCGACGGTATAGAGTAATATACGTACACTCTAGCCAAGATGATGTCAGAATAGAAATTAATCGGCTGAATAATAATAAAGCAGCAGGTTACAAGCCGAAATATTGAAGACTGGTGGTCAGATGCTGGTAAGGAGCATGTACCAGCTGATTAGTACAATTTGGCTAGAGGAATGCATTCCCAATAATTGGAACCTCAGTATCCTGTGTCCCGTGCACAAAAAGGAGACAAGACGATATGTGCCAACTATAGAGGTATAAGTCTCCTTCTCATTTCATATAAAGTTATATCCAGCGTGCTGTGTGAACGACTGAAGCCAGTGGTCAATTACATTATTGGACCATACAAATTTGGATTCCTGCTAAATTTATACGATTAGGTAGGATAACTTTGGGTGGAACAAGGTCAGCAGTTAAAGTCAGAAAGGACCTCTCGGAGCCCTTCAATACGGAACGAGGATTCAGCAAGGTGACAGTTTGTCATGTGACCTGTTTTACATCCTGCTGGAAAAGGTCATACGAGATGCAAATTTGAATAGAAATTTGGCTTCGCCGACGACATCGGATCAACTGTGGAACTTGAAAAGTACAGCTTCGAGGTAGTCAATGATTTTATACACCTCGGTACCAAATCCGGAGGAGAATAGTGTCGGCCAACAGATGCTACTGAGTAAGCAACTCAAAAGCAGGGACACTTCTCGCCAGACCCAACTCACACTCTACAAAACGCCGATATTACCCGTGCTGTTGTATGGATTTGAAGATAAGCAGATGAGGCAGCTCTTGGAGTGTTTGAAAGAAAATTTCTCCGGAAGATCTATAGTCCGACGGGGGAATATAATCGTCGAATGAACCATGACCTATACCAGCTATTCTCGGACATCGACATAGTCAGACGGATTGAGCTGCAGCGACTACGTTGGCTAGGTCATGTTGTGAGAATGAATGTGGATGAATGAATGAATTCGGGAAATAAACGCAATCTGCTCTTTGTTTACAAATTTCTTTGAGAGGCAGGAAGACGAACGGACAGGATAAGCTCAGAAAGTGATTCAATGTACATCCTTAAATGTAAATATGGGTCTATCTTGTTCACAAGTGGTTAATTACCTCCAGCTGCATTTCATCTCCAAGTTGGATGAAAATACTGAAGAGACATGCAGTAACTGCAAAACCTCAAAAATCAATATAAAATTACACATTGTAGTCACTAGCGAAAACGAGATCAAACTCACTGTAGGGATTATAACAGTTAACTGCAGGATTAGAACCCTCACAACCAATTGGAACATTAATGGAGGGGATTACTGTCGATTATGTAAGGATGAGGAAGAGCTGCAAACAAAGATTTGCAAATATGTCAATGTAATGTTATAACATTGAAACTCTTCCTCCATCCCTTTTTTTCATTTCAGGTGAAATCAGCTGTTAAATAACTAGTGGTTGAACATCCTACTGCGAGAGAGCTAGTAGTAGATGCTTTGAGGTGAAGTAACTTTGTCTTACTGTCCGGAATTTTCACGGCGTAGATCTACCTCATTGTTATCACTAGGAAGAACAGGTCACTGGAGAAGAACAGGTCACTGGAGAATCAATTCTCTTACCTCCAATTGGGATGTCATCGGACTCTTGCCGCATGGGACGAGTTGGAAATGATCGAAAAGATACCAGTAGCAAAAGGCTTGTACTGTTTGATAGATATGGGATTGATTCTCTAACATTCTTTTACGGGATCGATTCCATAAAAATGCTTAGCTTTTAATCCGTTTCTCCATTCCGCTCCCTTTAACTCTTTTCAAATTTCTCCTTTATAGGTACCCAGGATGAAAACTATGGACCAAGGCTCTCTGAGTGAAAGCAGATGTTAAATAACTGGTGGCTAAACATTTTTTAATCTAACTTATTGCGAGAATGTTGACTGTAGGCGGTTTGAGGAAATCCTCAATGTTACTGGCCGGAGTTTTCACGGCGAAGATCTTCCTCATCATCTTCTTTAGATATCGGAATGTCAATGGAGTGGACTATTGTCGTTAATGAATAGTTGGAAACGATCGAACATCTACTATGTAGATGGCAGACGCAAAGTAGCAAAATACACCTACGGGAGAGATTGAAACTTTCTCCAGTTTTACCAAAAATCATTTCTGGATATGCAATAATTCTATTCTCTCTGTTTAAATACTCAGAATAAACACAATGGTCCAAGACTCTTTGAATGAAACAATCGCAAAATTATAAAAAAAAAATAATAAAATAACCTCACATAATATATGTTACCAACAAATGTACAAACACATAATAGCCTGTACCACAGTATGGTGTAGGGTATACAAATTGTATACTTTATTTCTTTATATGATACTTACATGTTTCCATGAAATGTTTCGGAGTCATGGGGATATCAGCAGAAGAGGTGCAATATGCTCATCTTCCAACTTGATTGTTTTAAATATTATGGTGCATCGATAGAATTGTAAAGTCCCAGGAACAAGACAAGTTTAGGGGCTCCACTCGGATCATTTGAAATTGCAATTAGGATTGCGTGGACATGTAGGCGCCACCGAGGACTACCTACGGTAAAGCCGAGTGGAGCCCCTAAACTTGACTTAAGCCAAGGACCATATCTTGGGGTGTATCATAATCGTTACTTATTCCACTTTATGAATCGGAAGAATTCCGCATGAGAAAATTGGATGTAGGATCTGGAAATCTATTCGGGAAATAATTTCACAACGTAGAAAAACTCACTCTACCTTCTCTATTAGATAAAATTCACTGTGGTTATTAGAAAAGTCACTGCACAATCACTTGGGAAATATGTAATACTACAAGAAACATTAATTAGATTTGTAGCGGGTTGTAAATTGGTTGTTGTTGTAGCAACTATCTACATGTTTGTTGTATTAAATTAATTTGGTTCTGACTCCTCTGTTTCCAGGTTCAGGAAGGTTGCAATCTCTAACGGCTGCGTCCAAAGTGATTCCGGAGACAGATGAGTGGATTTAGCAGGGCAGTTAAAGAGATGCAGCGTATCGTGAGGTCCAAATCCACATGCAGGGCATGTGTTTGGTACCGCACTGTCAATTCGGGCCCAATACGAATTGAGGGGGTTACACCATCCTGATCTTAGTTAAAACCACTCTCGTTTGTCTAGGCAGCTGTCGCTCTTCTGCCGCTATAGGTGGTGGGGTACAGCATTCACACGGTTTTGGTCCATTGCCTGGGTCACTGCTTCCGTGTGAATGTTGGTAATTCCTGTTCGATAAGCCTCACGATCTAGGGGTATTCTTTTATACCGTTGGACCTCTCTCTCTAGATCATGTAGGTCTCTCCTTACGTGCCTGGGTGGGGGAATTCTATCCATAAGATTATGGCATGGATGATTCCTGCGATAACACCCAAGCAGGTACTGCATCGACAACATCCTGTTGTGACGATGTACGGTCTTACATGTAAATTGGTCTTATTTATTGGTGAATAGTTTTTTTAACGTGACTTGTTTCGAACTTATCTTATTAATTTCAAAATACTAACACCATCTACCGTAATGTAAAACAAATTCCACAGCATTGCCATGCTCGCACTACCTTTCCTTGCCACCTCGACACCGATTGGCAACCAATCAACTACCGTCATCCGGCAACCCTCTGCCGAGCTGTCAAACTTATCAAAAAAAAATCCACAACTAATCAAACGAAGCAAAAGAATTTTTTTCTCAACAAAACGCCCAAAAAATTTACAACTTTTTTTGTTAAAAAAATTTAATTTGTTGTAATTTGTTTAATAAATCGCGATACGAAACATTCCGAACGGTGCACAGTGCATACACTAGAATAAAATAAAAACGGATCCAACATGAACTTTTTGGGTTTTGGGCAATCGGCTGAAATCGATATTGTTTTCGATGGTGCTGAAAATAAGAAAACTGCTGAGGTCAAGGCAGAGGATGGGAAAATGGAGAAATTGTTACTTTACTATGACGGTGAAACGGTGTCCGGAAAGGTAAATGACCCAAAGCGAATATCGCAAAAAAAGAGTTATAGAGGTGTTATATAAAAATATGTGCAATTAAGGAGATATGGAGATCTCAAGAAGTAAATCCTTAAGAGAGGACAGGTCAACATGGTGAGGTGAAAGGTAGAAAGAAATCATAACATTGTACCCTGCCGACAACAAATAGCCCAATTATTGAATACCGGTCATACTTTTTGTAGTAGAATAACCTTTTCTATTTGTTATTCCGTTTTTTTTTTTGTTTTTATCGCATATGCCGCTGACGATGCAAAGTAACTGACTGTGGAACCCACCCGACCGACCTACCGTCCGCCCGTCAGCCACTTGTTTTGTTAATTAATTTGTTGTGCATTCAATTCTATGCTTTCTTTATTTGTGAGTATTATTGAAAAATCACCGATGATGTTAGTGCTGTGGTTGTTGTTGCTATTGTTGCGAACGCTGATCGTAACGTTTCTAAGCATTTCTATTAAAAAAGAAAAATATCATAAAAAGAATGCATTTCTTATTAACTGAAATTGATGCTCGGTCGGATACTGCAGATGACGATCACTTGGCTTTCGAAGGGAGGCAGATGAATGAACGGAAATATTACGTAGCCATTAGCAGCCGCTACTGCTGATATGACCTCCTTTTAATGCGAATTTTTCACATATATTTTGTATTTTTTGTTTTTGGTTGTGATAACAATGTTTCGAATGTTTCGTTCAGTACGATATTTTGTTGTCCAATACCAATCCAATGTTATGACGCATATATTTCGATGTGGATATTAAGCAGGGGGAGGGAAAAAAAACTTAAATATTAGAACACGTTTGATGATGAGTTAAGCTATTTAATTCAATTAGAGGCTTTGTGATAAGGACACTGAATGGAATGTGCTAAATAGTTGACAAATTTGAGAAGCTAAAGTATGCGGACTACTGTACAGAAACATACCAAGTCGAAGGAGATGAAATTTTATTAACAATTTCAAAGTCGACCACTTCATATTTCAAAAACTGACCGTTATTTGAAATCGGCGTCAATATTAATTTATATCTAAAGTCGAGCTACTGTACAGAAAAGGATATACCGCAGATGTCATCAAAAGCGCTGAGTTATCCAAAGCATTGGATACGTACGGAATATCCATGGTAATGCTTAAGCAGCTAGATAAACTCGGAGTTGAGTATTCAACATCAGCCCCCCACTTAAGCCCCTACTCCCTCCATCGTTGAGAAACAGTTTTACAACTGTCCAACATCAGGGTATCTCCTCATCAATTCAGTGGATCATCTGCACCTCTGGAAGGCTGTGGGAGGCATTCTATCGATAACAGATATGTAGGAGATTTTCAGTTTATAGAAGACATGTGGGATGTATTAAATATATTTAGAAGGCCCGTGGAAGGTCTTGGAAAGCCTTTCATCTGTTAAACACTTTTAAAGACCTATAAAAGATATTCGGAAGGTTTTTTTGAAGACCTATTATAGGTCTTCAATCTGCTTCAAGTGTTTTCGTAATTGTGAATTGTTTATACTTAGCTGGCTCGAGACAACATTTCTTCCATAAGCCGAACTTAAAACAAATTCCAGGCGCGTCGATCTTGTGCGAAGTTTTTCCAATTTGAAAGGCGATGCGTTGATATGTCGTCCTCCACTTGATCTACCCATCGAATTCGTGGCCTTTCCCTTCTGCGCTTTTATATGCCTTTTAAGCTGGGACATCCTCATCCATTCATACTGCAGCTCGATTCGACTATGTTGATGTCCGTGTATAGATGATAAAGCTCGTGCTTCATTCCACGACGACGATATTCACCGTCGATCGGCCAGATCGGCCCGTAGATCTTTCGGAGATTTTTTCTTTCAAACACTCCAAGAGCTGTCTCAACTGTTTGTGCAAATACCCATGCTTCAGATCTATATTATAGCACGGGTAGTATCAGCGTCTTGTAGAGTTTGAGTATGGTCCGGCGAGAGGTGGCCTTGTTTCTAAATTGATAACTGGCCAACACTATCCTTCTCCGGATTTCAAAACTGATGTCATTCGTTTTATTTATGGCAGTACCAAGGTATATAAAATCTTTAACAACCTCAAAGCTGTAGTTCTCAAGTTCCACAGTTGGTCCGAGTCTACTGGGCGTCTTCTGGGTTCATATCATCAGCTTTGTCTTCCCGCCATTTATTGCCAGACCCACTTTGGCAGAATACTTCTCAATTTGTTCAAAGGTTGCTGTTACCGGTATTCGGTATTCAAGGGCTCCGTTGTGTCCTTTTCCACGCTTACTGCTAACATAGTGTCACTTTAAGTTATCCTGCATAGCCGTATTAATTTTGCAGGAATGCGTAACGCAGACATGGTTTTAAACACCTCAGAACGAATAGTGATTTCGAATTACGTCTTTATAGTAGATGAATAGGTGGAAAGTATCGATGTGTTTTTCGTAGTTCTTTTGCAGGATTTGGCGCAGAGTGAAAATCTAGTCAATGGTGGATTTGCCAGGCCTGAAGCCGCATTGGTATGATCCAATATTGTCATTGGCTTCAGTCGTTCACACAGCACGCTGGAAAGTACTTTATATGCGATTGGAAGGGGACTTATTTCTCTATATTTGGCACATATCGTCTTGTCTCCTTTCCATTCCTCTAGCCAAATTGTAATTGAATAGTTCGGCTGGTAACCAATCGGCTACTACTGCTTTATTACTCTTCAGCCGATTGATTGCTATTCTGACCTCATTTTGGCTAGGTGGTATACAATCTATACCGTCACCTCTTATTGGTTCTGGGGTATCTTCTTCACCGCCACTATTTGATATCAGAAGCTTTTCAAAATGCTCCTTCCAGATCCTCAACAACAGATAGCGTGTTGAGGATCTAGCCAATTACAATTTGGCTAGAGGAATGGAAAGGAGACAAGACGATATGTGCCAAATATAGAGAAATAAGTCAACAGCTTTCCTTCTTCATCTCTACAAGATGTGCTTGCACCAAAGCCTTTTGCTTGGTGTTTTACTCGTTGGTACAATTTCCGGACTTCATTCTGTCTCCTGTATATCTCGATTTGCTCACGTTTTTCTTGTTCTTTCTTCTTTTTTTCTGATGGTGGTTTGTGGTACCCAAGTGCTGCTTTTATTGCAGTTTGTAGGGAGTGGGTAATTCTTTGCCATTGTGCTTCTATATTATTATCGGGACAAGGAGTGCTTTCGTCAAGCAAGTGGGTAAGTTGAGCGGAGTATGCTTCTGCTATATGTTGTGTTTGCAACTTTTCGACGTCGAGTTTCCGTGTTACATTAGAGCGCACCTATGCTGCTACATTAAGTCCGAATCGACATTCGCTGCTCGTATCGATCGAACGTCTAAAACACTGGATGAATGCCTGCCGTCTATCACAACATGATCTATTTGATTTCTCGTTGCTTGATCAGGAGAAATCCAGATGTCCAGGTGTTGTGTATATCAAGATGCTTGAATCTGGTGCAGATTCGTAGATCGTGGTCCCTTATACCTTTGCGTAAAATATTTTCGTTGATTTTAAATAGTAGAGGGGTTTTTCGAGTGTGGGCAACTAACCCGACGCCTCAACCCAATTTTTATAGTCCTTATGGGTGAACATACAACATATGCATAAAAAAGATAGCTGATCTTCATTAAGAGAAGGTGGAAAATGTTGTACCACTAACGTGTTTCGGCTAAAATTAACGGACCTCTCTCTAACATACGGAATTGATGGTTAGTAGAGAATATTCCTGTGCGTTTGAATGCGAAATAAATAGATTTCAGTTCCATACTATTTTCAGGCTCTCTCAACAGCTAAGAATGCCACCAAGATGAATCTGGAGTAATCCATTTTTTTCTCAATGTATCCGACCACCTCATAAAGGCCGTATAGCTATCATCATATTTAATCACTGATCCGAAGTCACTAATTCTAAGTTTTCTGACTAACCGCAATTTTCTCTTGGCCACAGTTTTAAAAATTCTGATTTCAATACCCAGTCCTTCCTATTATTAAGTGTTTAGCTCTTGAGAACGTTTACAAATATTTAAAATTTTCACTTATCGGTCTGATATAATTACTTCCACGTCGAAAGTATACGCTAACATCAAAAAAAGGGCACAAAGATCTTCCGACGGTAAGCAATCAAATATATAACTACAGCAAATTTCCTAGATCGGTTGGATAATTTGGAACTATACGGAATCCTAGATTTTTATTTTCAATTTTCATTGTGGAGTATGGTTCCTCCTACCATTGCCTGGAATGTGAAAATTTAATTAATAAACGGAAACAATTATACCCATAATTTTTAAATGTATTCTTTTTATAGTGATACTTATTTTCGTTTGTTTTATATTTCAGGTAAATGTTACACTCAAAAAACCTGGTAGCAAATTAGAACATCAAGGTATAAAAATCGAATTCATTGGACAAATTGAATTATACTATGATCGTGGCAATCATCACGAGTTCAAGTGTATCAACAAGGCACTAGCACGTCCCGGTGATTTGTTGCAGAACACCAGCTACCCCTTCGAATTCCCCAATGTGGAAAAACAATTTGAAATCTACAACGGATCAAATGTACGATTGCGTTATTTCCTGCGTGCCACCATTATCCGACGCATCAGTGACATTACAAAAGAGGTTGATATCGCTGTACACACCCTGTGCAGTTATCCCGATGTAAATAATCCCATTAAAATGGAAGTTGGCATTGAAGACTGTTTGCACATTGAATTTGAATACAACAAGAGTAAATACCATTTGAAGGATACAATAATTGGTAAAATCTATTTCCTTTTGGTACGCATTAAAATAAAGCACATGGAAATTGCGATTATAAAGCGAGAATCCACCGGCAGTGGGCCGAATACATTTACCGAAAATGAAACAATTGCCAAGTTTGAAATTATGGACGGGGCACCCGTCAAGGGTGAGAGTATACCGATACGAGTCTTCTTGGCTGGCTATAATTTAACGCCGACAATGCGTGACATTAATAAAAAGTTTTCGGTGAAATATTTCCTCAATTTGGTATTAATGGATACCGAGGATCGTCGGTACTTTAAGCAGCAAGAGATTACGCTATGGCGTAAGGCGGATATACCTCGGTATCATCATGCTCACAGTCAGCATCAACAGGCCGCTGTGGCGGCCGGTCACAATACACATCCTCAACATGCACCGCCACATTTGGTCAGCGGTCCACCAGCACCAATTGCTGCCGCTCAACCAACATTGATTAGTAGCAGCAGTGAGGTGGGTGGTAATGTGGCGGCGACGGCCGCCCAATTACCCATTGGCACCGGCACACCAACGACCATGGTGCCTGAGGGAGGCAAAATGGGATTGTTTACCCGTGAAAGTCCAAATCAGGAATTCTTACAGGAGGAATCATTGCCCACATCACCGGTAACACCATCAGCTGGTAGTGGTATACCCATAGAACGGGGTATGGGTGATGGTGCAGCTGCCGTGAGTACTTCGCCAGTTATGCTATCAACAACGCCCCCACCATTGCCAGCAGCAACGGCAACAGCATCAACGACGGGCAGCAACAATTTGGCGGCATCAATTGAAAACTTGAAAGAATCTGCTGATGATTTTCTAGACAATATTCCCATTGGTGGCGGCGATGGTGATCGGGTGGTAAATGATTCTCTGGATGGTGATGATGATAAACCACAAGTTGTACCGGCTTCAAATGATTTCTTGGATAGTGATGATGCTGTTACAACTGGTAGTGGTGGAGCTTGATGATATTATGGCCAAGTGGCTAATTGAGTTTGCAAACGAACAGCAACAACAACAATAATAATAATAACAACAACAAAAACAACCACCACCACTAGCATCATCATCATCGTCGTCGTTTTCATCAATAGAACAAGAAAAACCACAACAACATCAGAATTTTAACTACAAACGATCAATTGCTGCTACTCCTCCTGCTGAAAAAGACCGATCGTGTAAATATTGCATCAAGTGCTTAAGCTGACAGATAAACAAATAACAAGAACAACTGAAAACGAAATGAAAAAAAAAACAACTACAACAACAACATACAAATGAAAAACTAACAAAAAGAAACAAACAACTCTCATATTAATAACTAAACAGCAACAACAACACACACTGAAACATAAAAACAACCAACAACAATAACTATTAGGGCTTATTTTTTTAAACATACAACAACAAAAAAGACTCTAAGACAAAAAGATTAAACATACATACCTATGTTTGTCATTTTCAAAGGTAAAGTGAAAAATGTTTAATTAAGTTTAAGTTTTTTTTCCAAATTTCATAATTTGTGATTCCATTTTTCTCCAAGAAAGAATTTTTATACCATTTAAAATGACTATTGGAAAACGTTACAGTAATTTTTCAAAAGTATTTTAAGTTCCATTTTTCCGTTGTAAAACAATTTTCAATTACATTTGAAAATGATTGACACAGAACGAAGTTTTTGTGAAAACCTAAACCTAAATACAAAACGGTTTGAACATGCAAATTGTGGTAATTAAAAAAAGTGGTTAAATTTACTTATTATCGGCGGCAGAACTCATTGGAATTTTTATTCCAACTAAAACTGTTAGAAATTTTCGGAATGCTTTACTAACTACGCTATTGATAATTTTCAAAATTTATTTTTAATTCCTACAAAATTTCAAAATTCAAATCTCAACAACTTTTGAAGATATAACCGATTTATTGCGGCAGCATCAAGCGACAGCTGATCTTCTTCTCAAACTCTAAACGCGTTTTTCTCGAAGCAGTGTTTTTACGAATGACGGGCACGATAACTGAAAAATAATCCAATCGGTTCCAAATTTTGACATGTGAGTGTATAGCTATCGTATAACGTAGTTTGCGGTGAAAAATGGGCGATTTTCCAAAAATCTGTTTTCAAACGTGTGCCATTTTGTTATTTTTTCGAGCAAGTTCATACGAGAGCCAGACATGTACTCTTTCTAACACTGTTGGAATTTTCGTATTCCGATGTTCCAATGAGGAGTCCTTTATGTAATGTAACTATTTCAAAAAATCATTTTTGTGGCACTACCCTGACATAATGAATAAGGCTCATTAGAGCCATCTCCTTCTAAAGATTTTTTATGAAAAATATCAGCAAGAAGAAAGTTATAAAAATACCTTTTTTGTATCAGAATGTATTACGGGACTATTAAAGGTTGCATACTTTTCAAAATTAAAACAGTTCTCAATTATTGGACACAGAACACCTATTTGACTTAAATCTATAGGATTTTCAACTTCCGTATGAAATTCTATCCGGAGAAGTTATCCTACTTTTTACTATAAAAAATCGTGGTAGGGCATCGAGAACATCGAGGTATTAAAATTAAATTCATTGGACCAATAATTATGCAGAACACCCCTTAAAATTCCCCAAATGAGGAAAAATAATTTGAAATCTATAATGAAACAAATATGCGATTGCGTTATTTCCTGCATACCACCATTATCCGACACATCAGTGACAATACAAAAAACGGTTGATATCGGTATACACACCCTGTGCAGTTATCTCAATGTAAATAATCCCATAAAAATAATTGGACCCCTGTTCGATAGTATTTAAATATTTCTGAACATTCATATATATATGTAAAGGTTATAGAATTCGACCAAGGGCTATCTATGGGCCAAACTTGTTATGAGTTTCCCCATGTAGTTATTTGTAATGTTACAGACCAGAATGTGGTGGCACTTGGAGTCCTGGAGTCCCTATCTTTGCCTTACAAAGGCATCATCCACATCAAGTTGAGTGCCTGGGTAAGGGGGTATTAATCTTGGGTCCTTGTGACGCTGATATAGGATGAGCCACAGCAGCGACCAATGAGAGGTTTTTGTTGTTTTTAGTTTAAGGGGGATATTCCTTGTTATAAGTATGTCATGATCTTTTATGACCATGTTATTAAGTAAATACCGAAGCTTAAACAAGTCTGGGGATATCATCAGACTGGGGTGCAATAACATTAAGTGCATATCAAATCAAGATCTAAGGTCTGGGATTGTAGGAAATACATCAGAATATTCTACCATGCATTCTTCTGCAATGATCGCTAAATTTTAGTTCAATGCCAAGCATGCGAAATATTCTACATGAAGCTTCACTGGACAAAATAAATCTGAAGCCTAGGGACCAGCGAATTTGGTCGTTACAAACGATATGAAATAAGGGACATAAATGACCTAAAAGCCGATATATCGTTAAAAATGACATATGTTTCGGACAAATATTATTACAATTCTTCAAATTAGTAGATGTTTGTGAATGGAAATAACTATTCGATATCAAAACTCATGTTGGGTCACCGAAAAATCGCTAGCAGTACTAAATATACTTAAAATGTTATGATTTGGGTGATAAATAAAATATATTATTTTTTGATTGATCACGATCGTTTTCGAATGGGCCCCAGATTCGTCCACAATATTTAATATTAGAGAGCTGACATTAAAGAACGAAATATTCTACGTTAAATTTCACTATGTGCCACGGAAGAAACCAAATCTGTAGCATTTAAAGATATCTCCAAAAATATCGGTACGAATATGAGGTTAATATTAAGATTGATTTATTTAAAATCGGTTATATATTCAAGAGCTTTTTTATATTTTCGTTGTGGATGATTATTTATAGCTTCGAATTAAATTTAAATCACATTTTCCATTTCAATACACAGCTTCCTACTGAGTAAAATTAACCAAATCAAATCTACCATAGGCTATTGCATGTTTGAAACCAGTAAAATATATTTTGTTTTTATTAGAAAATATTTAACTTAAATATTATAAATATGTGAGGTAGTTTTAAATTTGAACGGATTTGTAGTCGAATTTCCATAACTCAATTCACCCCATTATCTAAAGAAGAAAACTTCGAGTTGTGGAATTAATTATAATTTAGCTTCCATAAGTCGAATTTTATTTGAGTCGTTTCTCATGTAGCGGCAGTAGCACTTTACGGTCGAATTTAAGTCGAATTTTATTTGAGTCGATTCACATGCAGAGGCATTAGTACTTTACTGCCGCTACATGTGAGTTCAAGTTATGGAAGTTCGGCTGTATTTCAAAGAAGTTGTTCCTTATTCCAGGACCAGCACAATTTTTTTCCATCTTCATTCAAATTCGGTTTTTTGATTTTAAAACTACCTCATAGAAAACGTGTGTGTGTGAGGGAGTGTATGTTAGTGCATATTTCTAAACTATGAATGAATACATGAAAACGAAACTATTTTAAATTTTACTTTCATTACGTTTTTTAAACAGGTCCATAGTTTGTAAAAAGTATTAACAACAAAATGATAAACAACAAAAACTGAACTTAAATAACCAAATTGTTATTATTTGTTTTGTAGTAAAGAAACATAATCATAAAAAACCAAACACACAAACATACATACATATATACTACCTAACTAGAGAAAATCTTTTTGGAAACTTAATTGCAACAAAATTGAAGAAGAAAAAAAACAACAAAAACATAATTATAGCCTTAAATTAAACAATTTCATAAAAAAAAACATCCACAACAACAAAAAATAAGCCCTATGCTACCAAAAAAAAAAAAAAAAAACACAAAACTCCTCGAACTGTCTACACTTTTTTGTAATGATATTAAAAATTAAACCATAAGAAAATCGCGATTAACAAAGTTCAGCAGAAATTTAATTCTAAATTGTTCAAAGCATTTTCTATATATTTTTTCTATTTCGATTTTCTTTCTTGTGTTTTAAGATTTAATTTTTTTTATTATTAAATTATTATTATTTTTTCTTACGTATTTAAAATTAAGCACTTGGCTGGCTTTAGTTATATGGTTTATTATAATCGATTTTTTATTAATCCATTTTGTTTTTTGCTACAAAATTTGTTGCTATTCTTTTGTTTTGTATTTTCGTTCTCATTCTGCCGCTATATATAATTTTCTTTTCTCGTTTTTTATTACTATTATTAGAAATTATTATTTAACAATCATAATTGTTTATATATACTATTATATTATAATAAAACATTATTATTATAATTTTTTTATTAGATTTTGCATTAAGCAAATAAAAAAACAAACCCCCTCAAATTAATTCCAATTTGTTAAACAACCTTATACCCTATATAAATATTATATCTTAGAAAGAAATGGTCCCCCAAACCAATCAACTACTCCAATAATCCCCCATATGTTCCCTTCTCTCTCCACCCCTTCTTCATCGATGTACTTTATTTAATAAGTTACAAAAACATAAATTTAAAATGCGTAACGCAGCAAAAAAACAACAAACACAAAATAATACTGAATAAAAAAAAACAAAAAAAAAATAATTCAAACTTTGTAAAACGAGACAACCTTCTTGAATAATTGAAAGAGAAAAGAAATAATAACAAACAAACAAAATATAAAAGAAAAACAAAAAAAAAACCTAAATCAATATTTTTATTTTCATAGATTTTAAGTATAATAATAAAACAAACAAACAACAACAACAAAATGATATATTACAAATATATTATGTATTAACCAAGTTATTTAAAAATTTAAATAAAAAAATCCAATAAAAATCAATTTGAGTCGTTTAATTTATTTTTAGGCTAATTTCAAATAGATAACAGATACGGCCATAATATTACACATAGAGGGTTGGCGTTAAAGAACGAAATATTTATACAAGAAATTCCACTACAGATCATGAAATAAAAAAAATCTGTAGCTATTATAGATATACCACAAATGT